CCAAATTCATCTGTGGTTTAAAAAAGCATCCATGATACCACTTTAATTGAAAAAGCATTGTAGAGTTATTAAAAAATTATATATATATATATGATAATTTCTGAGAGATTACTCTAATGCATGAAAATTAATATTAATTAAAAAAAAAATCTAGGCGTAGATGATATTTGAGGAAAACAAAGTGGAAGGAAGGAATTTAATATTGATTTTGTTAAGAGGAAAAAAAACAGACAGAAGCAACCCATATTATAGTGGAAAACCAAACAGGACACACCCCCCGGAAACCACATACAAATTTTTCTCGTATCTCTTCATTCAAACAACCACATCCCTCTATATCCCTCTCGCTTTCCGCAAAAAAGTCACTTCTCCGGCGACACATATCACCGTAAGGGTTCCCGGCAACCTCCGCACAATTCCACATGGCTAATGATTGAAAGGGGGAAAACCACCGGCAGCGGTCTCCCTCAGTGTCGGTTTACTGAATCTTCCGATTACGACCACCTCATCTTGGAAGTCTACTCGATAGGTTTTTAACTTAAATCCTATTGAACAGATTAAGTACTGTTAAACTATTATGCAATATACTCAATTGATATAAAATATGTGATGGATTCATCTTTCTGGAAGGATAAGAAGATGTCTAACCGGCTATGCCAGATTCAACTTCTTAGTTCCCCAGAACGTTTATATTAAGGTTATAATTGTGATGGTAGGATAGAGGAATCTTACAAAATCGAAGTTGGTACATCCCTGATCATAGAGCAGCCTTGGTCAAATCCAGTAAGTTGTGACTAGTCATATGTACTGGCGTTTATGGTGAGTTTGATTCGTCAAACATTTGATTCTTCTCCGATGACCATTTATGGTGATATTTTAGTATTGTTAATTTATTTTGTGATATATTCATTTTGTATGATTTCTGTGATGATTGTATTTTATTATATTGGATTTGAATTTATGCATCTGAACATGATATGGGTATTGTAATGGTATAATATGAGTTGAGGAATATGAGCATGGTATGAGTCTCGTGGAGAGATTTTGTAATGATATGTTATTTGTGTATATGTTGATGTTGAGGGTCCTGTTGTTAGAGGTTATCCTGATACTCTAATAATCATTCAGTCTGAAGTAGAGAAGGATTAATTATGTGGTGAGAGGGGCAGGAGGTCCTGGTCTATGTGCCGGTTTTGGACATAGTGTTGAGGACTAACCTTGTGGATGATAGGGAGTATTTTGGAAGTGTATTTGCAAGAGAAGAAGTAGAAGTCATCACAAGTGCATAACCTTCCGTGACCGCTCATCAACGTATCATCCGAATGAGTGTCTATTGGGTATTGTGGAATGAGTGTCTATTGGGTATTGTGGAATGAGTGTCTATTGAGTATTGTGGGATGAGTGTCTATTGGGTATTGTGGAATGAATGTTTATTGAGTATTGTGGGATGAGTGTCTATTGGGTATTGTGAGATGAGTGTCTATTGGGTATTGTGGGATGAGTGTCTATTAGGGATTGTGGTATGATGGGATGAGTATCTATGGTGCGATTGTTGTATGGTGATATGAGGGTGTCTGACATAATTATTATATGATGTTTGTTGAGTGTATCAAAGTAATTATGCATGTTTTATAAATGATTTGTTGCATGTTAGCTCACTCTACTTGTTTATGTTTGTGTATGTATAATTCGTTATACGGAAGCAGATGAAGGAATGTCATCTGATTCAGTACCAACGAAGAAAGAGATAGAATAACAAATTAGAAGAATTTGACTTATATTTATGAGTTTGTAGTTGAAATCTGAGTTTAATACATATATATTAATATATATATATATATATATATATATATATATATATATATTAACTATGAATTATCAAGTGTGAGATTATGGAATGTTATCTTAAATATAAATGCTATAATATATCAATTATAAATTATCAAATGTGAGATTATAAAATGTTACCACATATGTATTTGATATGTTGCGAAAGCTCTCTTGCTGGAATGAGAAGAAAATGAGAGAAAGTTACCTCAAATAATATAAAGTTACTCATTTATTCTTCTATTCTCACAATATTTTTCTATGAAAAAAAAAATCATGACCAACCATGTGAAAAAAGATTTTGAACTATCAGATAATCAATCGATTATCTTCTTTCTATTTTTTTAAAAGAATCAATTATCTTCTTTTTATTTGTTAAACAGAACCAATATTACTATTTACATAATCCATTCTCGTATTTTGAGCGTGTGTTTTATTAAAACTGTTGTGTTGGACGAAGAAGAAAAAAAAAAATCCTTTGCAGAAAAAAATGAAGAAAAAAGTGAATAATAATAATGATAATAAAATTAATAATTATAATAATATTAATGTTACAAATAATAATAATAATAATAATAATAATAATAATAACAATAATAATAACTATAATAATAATATTAATTATAAATAATAATAATATTATTATTATTAATTATAAATAATAATAATATTAATCATAAATAATAATATTATTATTATTAATTATAAATAATAATAATAATAATTATAAATAATATTATTATTATTAATAACAATAATTATAAATATAATAATAATAATAATAATTTATTTAACTATTTAGTCACAATTTATTTCAATTTAATTTCCACCAATTCTATTTTATTTCATTATAACTTCATCAATTTATAATAATTCACATTTCGTTATAACATAATCTACACTATTTATATTTTATTTTAAACTATTTTATATCCAAAAATAAAGTAATAATCTTTTATTTTTATCAACTAAAATATATTTTTTAATTTACTAAACCTATCACATCATTCATTAATATTCATAATTTTTTTTTTCTTTATTTCTCATAATTTTTCCGTTAATCTAGTTTTTTTTTTTTCTTTTATCTTATATCTCTCTTTTCCCTCCAATCCATGGAAAGAGACATAGGTTGGGTAGGGCTCCAGGTAGGCGTGGGCTAATGCTAGCCTTAAGTTGACATGTTCTATGCTTCCTTTAGCCTTAGCTGGTTTTGGTCCTATTAATCAGTGCTCTGTCCTTTTGTTTTAATAATATTCATATATTATATAGTTAACAATAATTTTTAACAAATTTCACCATGAAACAGGATAGAAGAAAGTTATTTTTCTTTTAACTTTTCATAAATGAAACATAATATAAGAAAAATGAGTAAAAATAATTATTTTTTAAAACAAATTAATTGAGATCTATGAGGTAATATTTCAATTGTCGGACATGCTTCGTTGAGAAATTTAAATAAGATCATAATCGTGTTGGTGTAGAAGGATAATCAATTATGGAGACACCAATACAACATATTCTTGTCCAAAATTGAATATATGCTTCATTTTGGAGTAGAATAAATTTTCTTCTAAGAAAAATCGATTCTCATCTAACTAGATACGATTCTTGGTTTCATTTTGAAAAAAAAACTTATTTATTTTATCAAACTTCAGGTTTAACATTTTATTTTAAATCAAATCGATGGATTAAAGCAATTTTTTAAGTAATGACACATTTTAATTGCATGATAATTTTAACCAATTACACTTTATAATTATTTCAATTCATATTTTATTTTTTTTTATAAAATTCCTTTTTCAACATTTTCATGTAGATTATTTTCATCAATTAAAAAAATATTAAAAACAAGTCACATTTTAATTTCCATTAATTTTAATCAATCATATTCTAATTCAAAATAATTTCATTAATTGAGATATTTTTCAGCTAAACTAATCACTCACATCTTATTTTAACTTAAATGCAACCAATCACATTTTATTTTAAATTAATTTCATCACTTATTTTTATTGTAATTAATAAATCATATTTTATTTTAAATTAATTTAAACTATTTAAATTTTATTTTAAATCAATTTTAACCAAAAAATATAAAATTATAATTTTCCAATTTTATCAATTAAAATATTTTTTTTCCGCAAATCCTTTACGCAATTTATAAATTTTCTTTCATTTATCTTTACTTTTCACTTAATACATATAACATTACTTTCCATTCTCTTTCCCCTCATTAATTTCTATCATTTTCCACTATCTCTCTCAATATTACTTACCTCAAAAAACAAACTCACACTTAATTGAATCAAAATTGATAATTTGATATACACAAAATTTTCACATTCATTTTACACTATTTTATAATTACTTTATCTATTATACTAATATCTAGGTAGAGACAAATCAAGCTTGAACTTTTATCTATTATTTTTTTTTTCTAGCAAGGTCATCAACTAATTTTATATTTAGTACTTCTTGGGTGGTCCCGATCATCACCATCTTTAATTTTCTTTTAATATTTCTTTGGTGGTCCAATTCATCACTTTAACTAGGATTGAGAACTATTAGTATGATTGTTCCGACAGAAAATTAATTGAGGGGACATCAACTTCTGAATTTGGACTTTAGATGGTTAGTTATTTAATCCTCAGGGCACCTCTTTTTTTTTTTTTTTTTTTGCATGTTAAATCATAATAATTTCAGATGACAAGGAGTTGCCAAGTCGATGTAGATATAAGGTGTCTCATGAAGGAGAACATGTTTTCGAATTTCATCTTCTGATAGCCATGGTGACCAGTATCAGATTTCATTGACAAGTTCAAGGGTCCATTGTATAGCGAAAATCTTGCGGATGGATGATTTGCACAACGTATATTGTATGCGTATCTACAATTTACAATGCAACCATATTTGTCAATGCTATATCTAATCGTACTGGAACTATCTTAGCCACATGTTTTATATCAAACAAGCGACATTAAATAAACTGTCAATTTTATTTTATTTTTGTGTATTTCTGCTACTGTTGCAATAATGGCGCGCAGGGGCCGTAACTCAATAAACAGTTACTTTGAATACTCAATTCATTGCCACAGAGCTTTTGTTTTTATATGCAGTATGAAACTTGCCTATCCAATCATTCACATGTTTATTTTGATTCACAATATATAGAGCAACAAGTCTTGATAACCACACCAGCCAACTACAACTTCTTTAGTATTGTCCTGGTTTCCTGGGGCACAGCCTAACCTCTATTGCTTGAGCAATTCCTCTGCTTAGATATGGCTTGTGAAACCAACACATGGTTGGTTGTGTTTTTTCTTTTCTTGGCTGCAAACTGCATGCAACACTGTGCCCTTGGGGTGTCCCAAGTGCCTTGTCTTTTTATCTTCGGGGACTCCATGTCTGACAGTGGAAACAACAACCAACTTCCAACCACTACAAAATCTAATTACAAACCTTATGGGGTGGACTTTCCATTAGGACCAACTGGAAGATTTACCAATGGCCGAACAGAAATTGACATAATCAGTAACATTTCTCTATACTTATCAACACCTCTAATCTCTCTCTCATTTCCCCCTTAAACTATTTACCATTCTGTTTTGCATTTAAAGGCTTTAATATCAAATCTCGCTATTTAATTAGTATGCACTACATTGTATTCACTCAGCGATTTCTTAACGGTGCAGAAAGAATTAAAACCATGTTTATTTTTAAAGCAATGAGTCTTTTTTCTTACCCTGTGCACTTTGTCGAAGCTCACACTATCAGAGTCCACATATGTAGGTCAGTTTCTGGAATTTGAGAATTTCATACCACCCTTTGCAAACACTAGCGGATCAGACATACTCAAAGGTGTGAACTATGCATCGGGTGGAGCTGGAATACGCAGCGAAACCGGCTCGCATACGGTATAATTTTCATGTTTCTCACGATCTTCAATTTCTCTTGGTGAGTTCTTGTGTTACAATTTTCATGCATGCTACTAAACTAGTTCAAATACAGGGTGGTTCTATCAGCTTGCGATCACAGCTAGCAAATCACAGTGTCATAGTTTCTGAAATTGCTACCAGACTCGGAAGTCCTGACTTGGCTCAAGAATACCTTGAAAAATGCTTGTATTATGTGAACATAGGTAGCAATGATTACATGGCGAATTACTTCCTTCCCCAGTTCTACCCAACAAGCAGCATGTATACTGTTGAGCAGTATACAGAAGTTCTGATCGAAGAGTTATCTCAGCATTTTCAGGTATCCATTAATTGAAGTTGTGTGTTTCAGAAATGATTAGAACATGAATAAATGTAGATCCTATTATGGTCAGGCTTTACATGAACTTGGAGCGAGAAAGTATGCGTCGGCAGGGTTGGGCCTTATAGGATGCACTCTTGGTATCGTGGCTTCTTATGGGACAAATGAATCTTGTGTTGAAGAGCAGAACACTGCTGCATACCAGTTTAATAACAAGCTTAAAGCTCTCGTGGATAAATTCAATTACGGATTCTCTGCCGATTCCAAGTTCATCTTTCTGGATACTCAAGCATTGGCCATTTACCTTCGTGATAAAAATGGTACTTGGTTTGGTTTTGTTATTCAAAGAAATTTTTTGTCTTTAACTATGAGATAAGCATATACATATTCCATGTGTCACAGGTTTTGAGTTTCCAGAATCTCCTTGCTGCGAACCAGGGTTAACAGGGGAGTGCATTCCTGATGGAAAGCCGTGCTATAATCGGAATGATTATGTGTTTTGGGATGCATTCCACACCACTGAAAAATGGAACCTACTCAATGCATTAACAAATTATAATTCTACCTCTACTTCAGACTTCACTTATCCAATGGATATCAAGCACCTTGTTCACTATGAAATTAAAATGGAATTGGATCTCACTGATGACTCCACTTCACAACTTAGTGCCACTGAATAAGCTCTCGTTATCATGTACTACTGAATAAAATGGCTGTCATGAATGCAGCATAGTTCTTTTTGTTTCTGTGTAATGCAATTCTAAATCAAGGATGTAATATATAATTTGCAAAACTAATGAATAACGAGTTTATCATTCTACAACCAAACTCACAATATATAAGATGTAGTTCATAACCGAATAAATGGAACAATTTGTGATGGAGATCAAGTGAGTAAAAGTTGTGTGATTCATTCAAACAGTAATTAATGAGGAAACTTTGCAAATAAGTGAGAAAAAAATTGTAAACTATTTTTATTATAACTAATAGCAATAATAATAAATACATAAATAAAAAGGTGACATTTCTTTTAGGATGATGATATATGATCATCACATTTTCTATTCTGTATTTATCCAAATTCAATAAAATTGTATTTTTATTTCAAAATATAAAATAATTTGAAATCAATTAAGTAGAATAGTAAAAATATTATTTTTTATTAGGTATATTAAAGGTGTAGAAAAATTGAAGAAGTGTACATCTCATTTTTTATTATTAATCTTACAGTGACAAAGATGAGCTAAGATAAATGTGACAAATATAATGAATAAAATTAAAAACAAATGCATAGATATTTTTATAGAGTTATGCGATCTTGAATTTTTTATTTATTGATAAGAGGATACATAATAGTTGAGATTATCTTTGTGATGCAAAAATATGTTCAGAAAAATAACGTAAGTTGTTTTCTAATAATATATTAGAAAAAGATATTTTCACAATTATCATTTGATAATTCTCTGAGAGTGAAAGATAATTCTGTAATTATATTATTTAGATTGAGTGAAATACATAAGAGATGTTGAACCGATTTTGATATTGATGAAAGATAAGGAAATATTACATTTATACTAACAAGAAATCATTGTTTCAGGAGGGATCTGTTTGAAACAAGAGCGACATATTGAAATGTCGTTGTTGTTAGGTATTTTATAATAAAAAACACTTCAGTTCCAGACATCTTTTGAGCACCGACAATTGTTTGATGGAAGAAAACATTGTGGGGTTGAGGAAATCAATGGAGGCGAAGGGATTTTTTAAGTCCAGATTCTTAGTTGTACTAAGTTCTATAAATATCTATTTCATTCTCATAAGTTGCTTCTTCTTCTCTATTTTTTAATGTAAAATTAAATAAAGTTAAATCAACTAAGCAGCCTGAGAAATTACTTTACTCGCAAACTAGGTTAAAATGACCATGAGGAAAAGGTCAACGACGAGAACCACCAATGCACATCAACAATAACATGTCGATATTATCGATGACGAGTGAGAAAAGAGAAAACAAAGACGACGCAGCAAATCCTAGACACGTGATTTTGTTATTTTGTGCTTTTCTCATTTTATTTTTTTATTTATTTTTTTTATCCGTTTGTGACGTGGTTTTTGTATGTTTATGATTTTTCTAGATTTAATTTTAACGTAATTTTGTTCACCATCTTTTGATTCGTTTGACACTTTTATGTTTTGTTTCAATTGTTCCTGGTCTTCTTCGTCGGAACTGAAAAGGAAATAAAATAGTATATTTTATTTATAAGAAACAATTGCTTTAACAAGTAACTAATTTTTTTAAGCAACTTATGAATCTATAAATCTGCCAGGGAAAGAATTTGTTAAAGAAATACAAAATTAATAAAATTTGAATTCAATTCATATAACAGATCAATATTATTTTTAATTCAAAATCTTAAAATAATGATTTTTTTTTATAATTTCTCATTTTATAATGAATTTCCTTATATAAACATGTTATTTCTTCCAAAGAGTACCTTGAAACAACTTCAAAATAATTTGTGAGCATGTAATAATTATCTTTTTGTTGAAAATACTTTAAAACGTTGCAATAGAAAAGAAAAAAAATATTACAGTGCACATAATACTAACATGTTTTATGTATTTTCATTTTCTTTTTTATTATTAGAGTTAGGGTTAACAACTAAATTTTAAATTTAACTTAATTTTATAAAACTAACATATAAAATCAACATCTGAACTCGTCTTATCTCTGGTTAAGGTCAGATCTCTAACAGATGATTTCTTATAAAATTTGTTTTTTATACTCAAAAGCCTCATCTTTTAGAAAAAGTTGAAATGAAAGAGAATTTATATACAATATTTTTAATCCATTACAGTATTTTTTTTAAAGATAATATTGTTCCAGAATAATACTTATGCTTTAAGCCCGGATATGAACGTTGCAATAATTGAGTGTTTTATATGTGCAGCAAGTTGAGGGTTGACGTAACATATTTTAAACCAATAATGAATGCCTTGATAACCCCGCTTCCATCATACCTACTTTTCTTGTTCTCTGTTCATGTTCCTCATTTCCTGGAGCATAACCTAATCTCTTTTTCCTCGTCAATTCCTCTGCTTTGGGATGGCTTGTGAAACCGACATATGGTTGGTTATGCTTCTTCTTTTCTTGGCTGCTAACTGCATTCAACTTGGTGTCCATGGGGTGTCCCAAGTGCCTTGCCTTTTTATACTTGGGGACTCTTTATCTGATAGTGGAAACAACAATCATCTTCCAACCTCTGCAAAATCCAATTACAGACCATATGGCATCGACTTCCCCACTGGACCAACTGGAAGATTTACCAATGGCCGGACAGAAATTGACATAATCAGTAAGGGTTGTTTGGTTACACTTTTTCAAAGCTGTTTTTAGTTTTTGAATGAAAAAAAAATGAACTTTTCTTTACATTTATAAAGACTATTGAGCATTTAAGGTTGCAAACATAAATTTTAAAATTCTTTAGTAGTACTAACAGAATAAAAACTGTATTTGTCACAGACTAAAGTTCTATAATTGCAGCTCAGCTTCTGGGATTTGAGAATTTCATCCCACCCTTTGCAAACACCAGTGGTTCAGACATACTTGAAGGTGTGAACTATGCATCGGGTGGAGCTGGAATACGCAACGAAACCGGATCACATTTAGTACTAATCAAAGAACCGAATTCTTTCTAGTTTGCTCAAATTCTTCAATTAGTTTATGGTGGAGTGATTGTGTAACAATTCTCATGCATGCTACCGCATTAACGCAATGCAATGCAGGGCGGTTCTATCAGCTTGGGATTACAGTTAGCAAATCACAGAGTCATAGTTTCTGAAATTGCAACCAGATTTAGAAGTCCAGACTTTGCTCGACAATATCTTGAAAAATGCTTGTATTATGTGAACATAGGCAGCAATGATTACATGGGAAACTACTTCAATCCTCAGTTCTACCCAACAAGCCGAATTTATAGCCTTGAGCAGTATGCACAAGCTCTAATTGAAGAGTTATCTCTGAATTTACTGGTATCCATTAAAATTTTCTTTTTCACAAATGATTGTAATATGAATTATAAATCTTGTCATGATACTAATCATATATTTGTTTTTGTATTGTAAGTATTGAATGGTTTTATGTTTCTAAAGACATTAAATGCTTTAACTTTCTCATTTAATACTTTTTTATAGAGAAATTGTCCCAAACACCGATTGAATATGTAAAATTTTAAAAATCTTATCTTCCTTTAGTTTTTATAGGTTGATAGTATAAAATTTTACTCTAACAAGACATAGAAACTGAACTTTGTTTCGTACAAAGTATCTATAAGGTTTATAGGAGGATGTAGTTATATTATGGAATAATAGCTGTAGCATTTCAGTTGAAGTACACCATGCATGATATGATGATTGAGCTGGGAAATTTGATTTTATGGACAGGCTTTACATGACCTTGGAGCAAGAAAGTACGTGTTGAATGGTTTAGGCCTTTTCGGATGCACTCCAAGTGTGATGCATTCTCATGGGACAAATGGATCTTGTGTTGAAGAGCAGAATGCTGCTGCACTCGATTTCAATAACAAGCTTAAAGCTCTTGTGGATCAATTCAATAACAGATTCTCTGCTAATTCCAAATTCATCACGATACACATGGCACCAAAGGGCAATGCACATGGTAATAAACTTGGTTTTCGTATTGTTCAATCCACATTTCCAAATTAAAAGCAATGTATTGCCTTTGGCTGCAGTGCATGCAGTATAATATATTCTGACCTTAATCTTGATTCCTAAACAATATGGAATTATTTTGATGTATGGGAATAATATATAACCATATATAGTCCATGTGTCTCAGGGTTTTTGGTTTCTGATGCTGCTTGCTGCCCATTGGGGTGTATTCCTGATCAAAAGCCGTGCAATAATAGGAGTGAATATGTGTTTTGGGATGACGTCCATCCAACTGAGGCATGGAACCTACTCAATGCAATCCCAGCTTATGATTCTATCATTGATCCAGCTTTCGTTTATCCAATGGATATCAAACACCTTGTTGACTGGGAAGCTAAGAGGGTATTGGAGTTTACAAATGGGGCAACTTCACAGCTCAGTGTCACTGAATAAGTTCTGGTTATCATGTACTTATTCATAAGGAGCTGAATTGCTTCTGAGTTGAGTATGTATGAATGGCCTGCTACTTAATTGAGTGACAAAGTGGATTTAATCAAGTGATTAAATTGCTTATCCTCTGCCTCAGATTTTATCCAATTCATAGAATAAACTAAACTTTTGTTCTTCAAGCATCGTTCTTTTTCCTACTTAACCTTTCAAGTTATTGAGAAGTCTTTAAAGTTCTGACATTCATTCTGTTAGCCCCTTCCTATCCTTTATCTAAGTGACTACCCTACTGATTTTTTTTTTTCTGTAAAAAATTATCAATTTGGTCCTTTAGAATTAAAAGCAACACTTGGCACTAGTGCCCTACTTCGTAGCATTCTGTCTGAGAGAAAAGAGATTGATTAACTCAAGAATTTATGTTTTTGTAACAAGTTAATGTATGTTCTATTATTTGACTTTTCTTAATTGTTTTACACAAGATGCACGAACGAGTGAAATTTTGAAATAGAACTTCTTTCAATGAAGGATAACATTCGAATATTCAAGATGGATCATTTATCAGAATAGTTTGTTATTATTGTGGTAATCTTTTATATCTGCTTCTGTGAAAGTTTTACTTTCAGCATACTTGGTCATTGGTTTCTACTTTTCGTCTTCACAATGGTTGAAATTTGAAGACTGTGTTAAGTTTAGGTCTGAGAATTATTCAAGATATCTACTCATGTTTAAACTAATCATCCTTTAAAATAGTTTCATTTGAAGGGTATGATGAGATAGATATTATACAACTTTAGAGACCGCTTATTACTTTTTCTTAAGCTAAATAACATGATACTCTAAATGCCAAATTATGTAAGCTGTCATGAAATGCAGGCATAGTGTCTTTCCTGGAATGCAATTCAGAATCATTGCACTATAATAATTCGGTTTATGAATTCTCCTCTGAAACAAGACTTGCACTGATTGTTCTCTTGAAAACAGCATCTGTCATTTAGAATCAACCTATTGCCTTTACTAATACTATCATCTTTTTATGACTGTATAACTTCTGTTGGTATATTTTTATTGTGCAAAAATAATTTCTCTACTGGCACGAGCATAAATAAAACAAACGCCAAAGCATTATTTAATCCAAATTATCCTTGTAATGATAATTGAATTTGGATGTTTTTTTAATAAATAATTATGGTTAATCTTTAATTAAGATGATTTAAAATTGTCATCAGAATTTTAAATAGCACATACACATGTAGGTTCTTGATGTTAGGAAAATACAACTCTTTTTTATTGATGCCCTTGAAAGAAACGTTCATATATGCAGTGTTTTGTTTAATACCTTGATGGAAAGGATGCTGTAAAATAAACTAGATGTTTATTTTTTAGTTTAATACATTTGCACTTTATACAAATATAAATAAATGTTTTTGAATATTTTTTGTTTCACAACGGTCCGAGGGATGGTTGAAACAATAATGGTTAAAAAAATCACAAAAAAAAATCAATAAATAAAACAAATATATCCTGTTATGGGCTTTCGGCTAAGAGATAGTGATTAATTCATAAGTGTTGCTCCCTCTACCACCACCAAATACTCCATGCATCACCCTATATCCAATTTACCCTTGCTATAAAACGGATGTTAACATCCGTTTCATCTTCAACGAATGTCATCCGTTAGCCTGTTTTATATTTTTTTTTATATTTTAGTTTATTTATTTTAGTTTTTATTTTAATAATATTTTTTATTTACGTAAT